TCTGGGCTTTTGGTTGGACAGTAATCTGAACTTTAAACACCATATTGAAGTTTTAACAAAGAAATTGAAATTCACTCTTGGCTTCCTTTTCAGATTTAAATGTTGTTTTTCAACTTCATCCCGTAAAAGGTTGGTCTCTGGCTTATTCCTGTCCCAGCTGGACTACGGTGATACCATTTATAGATTGGCCTGTCCCACTGTTTTGGCCAAACTTGACCCACTCTACCATGCTGCACTGCGTTATATATCAAATGCACCCTATAGGACTCATCATTGCACACTGTATAGCCTAACTGGATGGTCCTCACTTACTATGCGTAGGATGCAGCACTGGTTTTTATTAATGTATAAAGCCATTTTAGGTAAGCTTCCACTCTACATATGTGTCAGATTTGCCCCAGTTTGTGACTCTTACAACCTCAGATCCAGTGCCTGGATACGGTTCCAGGTACCTACTGTACGGACTGAGGCTGGAAAAAGGAGTCTTTCTTATTATGGTCCTTGGTCTTGGAATGACCTTCAATCACGCCTCAAACTGAGGGCACTTGTCTCTATAGCATGTTTTAAATTGAAGTTGTCTGAAGTCCTCACCACCAGCTGCTCTTGCAGTAACAAGTAGTGTACTTTTTTTATTGTCCTAATGTGCACAATGTAGTGACTGCTTTTTCCTCTTTTGTTTTCTTAGTTATGTTCTCTGTATTTTATATGTTTGTGTTATGTGTTATGTGTAACGTTGCTGCCTTCTTGGCCAGGTCAGCATTGAAAATGAGATTTTATCTCAATGTTTTTATCTGGTTAAATAAAGGTTAAATAAAAATAAAAATAAAACACTGAAATAAAGTGGCTTCAGGGACTGTTTTTGTTTTGCTGCATTAGGTTGAGGAGTTTACTTCAGCTGGAGATATAAGCAGTTTTGAATCGTCTCCATCTACTTTTTTGCCTTTGTTATAAGAGACAGTAGACTAACTAATACCGATTCAACCGACCATAGAATGAAGAAAAAAGAGAGGAAACAATTAATTGATAGCGTTTTTGTTGTGTCCCTGGGCAAGACACTTCACCCCAAATTGCTCCTGTGGTGATTGTCCACAGTATTGAGTATGTAAGTGGCTTTGGATAAAAGCGTCTAACATGTAACATGTAATGTAATGTTCATATAAGAAAGTAATGAGATGAGGCAGATTTGATTTAAGAACTTTAGACAATAGATACTAGCTTTAATTGCTTGTTCAAAATAATCAAAGTTTAGGTTTATTGTGTGCCTGTTTTCGTTTGCGCACTGTGACAGCGTTGCACTACAACATCTCATTGTATATTTTTGTATAATGACAATAAAGGTTTTCTATTCTATTAATGGTTAACTGCTTTTTCTGTTTCCTCGTCGAAAAAATATAGTGTAAAGGTGACTCATCAAATGATTGTCAAGCCTAATTACGGCACTTCCTGCAACACAAAATGTGGACTCCAGCTGCCACATTCAATAAAGACAATTCTTATTTTCTTAATGCTTAAAGTCGGCTGAAGAACCTTGAGACTCTTGGCAAACGGACTTCTCAAAGGGGTTGTTGTAGCACTGGAGACAGAACTTGAGCCACCCCTATCTAATCCTATAATTTATTTGTTTAACCATCCCATAAATAAAGGCGCAGCTGGAACCAATTACTTTTAGTTGAGCTGCTGGACAGGGGAGTGCTGAGGCAGCACCGCTCTCCTCCGCACATCTGGAGGAACCATTGGGGCTCAGAGGTGAGGAGAGAGGAGGAAAATCAAGGTTCCTAAAATAAACACTCCATGTCAATTTGTGAAAGCTTAGGAAAAAAAAACTAGCAACAATTTTAAATAAATTATGTATTCGTTGAAAAAACTTGGAAATTGTGGAAGCAATATATTTTACAGAGACGACCATCCCTTGTCTGATCGCTCGCTGTTGTATAATCCCTGCTGGGTTTTTTGTCTTTTTTTCCTTTACGCAGAAAAAGCCCCGTGTCTACTGTTTTATTTGTTCTTGCTTATTTTTTTGTACTTATTAATTGAACGTTAGCTTGTCTGGTACGTTGACCCTATTGTTGGGTCACTAAACAAAGTTAAACTGTTAACTCACCAAAATGATATACAAATGCTTTGTGACCACAAACAAAGAATAGAAAATGACATATATTTCTGATTATTTGAAGAATTTCGAGCCACCAACTCTTCATCACCAGCAACACTGGTTATGTTGGGTCAAATGATGAGGCGCGAGCTTCCTGACATAAGAGATAAAAGGAGTGCTTGGGTTTCCAGGGATTTACCGGGCTCAGATTCCCTCACAGAAACTTGTTTGACGACAATGACGATGCGAGACCGAGCAGCTTCAATAGAGGTGTAAGTATCTCTCCAGATTGAATTACTTTCCTGATCTAAAGAAATGACTGTTTCCACTTGATCCCATTCAGTTTGTGCTCTGATAGGAAACACAAATGGGGGTTTCCAGGGCTGTTCACAGGTCCAAGATGATTTCAGGAAATGAAATTCGAAGACTGGTTTGTTAGTCCCTTGATGTACGGCATTGGGAGTGTGACCTACATTTCTCACTAACCCTCAGTTGGTTATTATTATAAGTTTGAGTCCTTTAGCCAAAGGGAAGAGCAAATCGTCTAGAGATAATTGTATGATTATAGGATTCAGATTCAGATTTTTAAAGTACAACAACACATCTGGCTCATATGAATACAAAGGCAATTTCAAATACCCAAACCAATTAGAAATAATGATAAAGTTTGCCGAATAGATGTCCACTTGAAGAGCAAAATCTGTGCCATCTCACAAAACAATGCAACCTACTCAAATATTTTTTTTTTAAATAACGCTGTCTTGAATAGGGACAAAATGTGTTGCCACTTTTCTGCTGTGTGCTGCTTTGGAGTCATTTTACAAGCCATGGCTCTGTGCCAGAAAAATATGAAGTTGGATGCATTCAGCCGAGTGCACAAGTCTACCAGACACAGAGGGTGTTTCTCAATGTCGAGGAAGGCTGCTCCAGAGCCACTATTTCAAGCATACTACGTCATCGAGTGCCGCCGAAGGACTGTTCCAATGTCCAGCATACTTGGGATTCTACCGAGGCCGGCATACTTCGTAGCGAGAAATTTCGAGGCTGCACATGTGTAGACTCCGCGGTCTTAAAATCCCCACAATGCTTTGCGCACGGACCAATTTCCAAATCTTTGGCGGAAATCGCGCTCCATTTAAGGCGGGGCCTCGCATATGACGCACACCTGTTAACCCGTTCCACAATTCTTCGTTTTCCGAGGCTAGGAAGGATTCTTGCCTACCAAGCAAGCGTCCTCGACATTGAGAAACACCCAGAGACTTCAGAGTCACTGAGTCAAGCCCAAACCTGAGACTAAACCTCCGAACGACAAAAGCGAATTGTTTTGAACTTGAACAGTATATCATATAAGGCCCAGAGACAACATATAAATATCATAATAAATATTGCTGAGTTCTGCTGGGGCAAACAGCCGTACATATGTTTGTTATGTCAATAAAACCAAAATCCTGGGGAAATGTACCTCAAACCTTAGTCCGCTGTAGGAAAATATACAAATGTAATGTGCAAAAAGCAATGCTTTGAAACCACAGGGCCTGGAATACACAATGGAGAACCTGTTAAACACAACAAGTGGGATTTATTAAGATTATTATGTTTCCTATTTTGTCTTTGTATTAAACCAAGTACATCATGATGTTTGGTGCAAAGCTCACACTGGACTGAAGATGCCACACTGACACTGTATTACAGGCCAAAGATGGAGCAACATTTAACATAGATGGTATAAAAACCCCAGTTACAAGATTCTAACACTCTTTTTATACTGAATTTCACTGTTACAGAAGCAGCAACAGAACATTTTAGTAACCCAAAATGTACAGCGTTGCTTCAGCAATTTCACATCATCGTAATTGGGCCTATTTACCTATCTATAATATTATTAACAAGACTTTTGTCATATGTCATGCAGACAGAGGAAAACAGTAGACTGCATATAGTTGTGTTTGTGTGTGTACTGCAGTTAAAGGAACACCATGATGCAATCGATGTTGCGTGGTTACTCCCACTAACCATAATGCATTATGTCTAAAAATACAGCATTCGTCAAGTTAACGCTCATTGAAGGTTTCGAGCCGCAGCAGGCTGAAGGTCAGCTATGAAATCAGATCCTTAACTGAGCATGGATCACATTAATACAAAGACCATTAACACTGCATTGAGTCTTTTTAAAATGCAATGCCATTAACAATCCTATACTGCATTATAAACAAAAGACTGATGTCATACGTGTACTCCAAGGAAAGCTAGAAGGTTGTACAGTTAACTCCCAGGATGTAATTCTAAACCATACAACCTACTACCTCAACCCGGATGCACACATTTTCAACTAGGGTTCCCCTTTTTTATTTACTATTCATAGTATATCATCCTTTAGTCATAAGGACTCTTTGTCGTTCTTATCTAACACAAAGCATTACCACCAGCATAATATGTCAAGATAATTATTTCCTATGTACATGGGACATATGATTAATATGCAATGTACACTTCATATCATAAATGGGACTTACGTTTTAAAGCGAAACATTAAAAAAAGGGTTTAAAGGCGACGTTCACACCACGATGACAAAGACCCACAGAGGCGAGCTTGTGCTGTCAGATTCGCCACAAGATCGGATCTACGGGTTTGTGCCAAATGGTTATAGCCAAAGTATGAACATAATTAAATAAAGCATAAAGTCTAAGCACTGTCGTCTCTGATAATGTGACAAAGAGCTATACAAGTTAACAGGCGTGAATTACTACCTCAAAATGTCCTTCCCTTGTGCGCCGAAAAGTGACAGAGAGTGGAAAGTCGGTTCACTTCAGCTGACATATAGAGAAACTGCAGCAGGAGCATTTGTTGAGATTCAGCCAAAAAATGAAAGTTCATCAGACAGATGGTGAAAGCATTGTGATAACTTACCCCTCAGGGAAGTGTCTCGCTCGGGGGGGTTTGCTGCCATGGTCAATCTCTGTAAAAACAGGACAAAGAAAGTTAAAAACACACACACACTGATAAGGGACAGCACTTTATGAAATACTAGCAACTTTCAGTAAACTGCAATAGAAACCATTCAGAAGTGTGATGTGAGAAAGGAGCATGCTACATGCTAATAACTTCGGACAACACCAGATCCACATGGAGAGGGGGGCGACATTTAAACACAAATGACTGAACATGTATACGTTTCTGTGCCCTGTCTGGGAGTATCGCATGACTCAGCAGTTCCTAGATATGAAATAAGGTCCATAACAATAACAATTATAAGTGTTGCTATGCTAAACTAGCCGCAGGATTGCCATAGCAGTGCTGTTCCTGGCCAGCAGCAGGCTGTGGTGAGAGGTTAGCTCAACTTAGCCAAGACCGCAGAGAGCCGAGCCTGAGAGGGATGCCAGTGAAATCAAGCATGCCACGGGGAGCTACCATTAACTGTGCCAGTGCCAGAGAGCCGTATTCCACCGGTCGCAGTGCGACAAAGTGAGGAGAGAGTGAGAATTTCACTTACCCAGATTTCTATTATCCTGTCTAATGTATTATTTCCCTATCCTTCTGCGAGCGTTACAACCGTTGGGTTTTAATTTAGTTTTGATCAGTTTTTTGGTTATGCAAAGAAAGATCAAGAGGCACTGACAATACAAGTTAACTCCAGCGGTGCTCTGAACGCCATTTTCTCCCAAACAAACAAGAACAAGAGAAGGAAAAACCGGATAAAACGTCTCGCCAGCATCATTATTCCCTGTTTCCTTCTTTTCGCCCTCTGTGTGTCTAACTCGCTCTCGCCTGGCACCATCACAAAACCTTGGCAGGAGTGATCACATGATTTCCTACCAGAAAGCCACAGCATTCCCAGTAAGTATTCTGCTGACATTGTGAAGACATCTTTTGTCTAAATCAAAATGTTAGACAGGCGGGGGACTGGGTGAAGGGTGGTGTTAGGAGTCATGGCAACCTCTACCTGGCAGGCTGCCCAGCACCCCGAGGTGGGGGAAGTAGGGGCTAATATGGTGTGGAGCAGGAATGCTTAATGCTTTCCAAAGTCAACTCTAGGGGCGTGCTGGTTGCTTGAGATTTCAGCTCTGATGCCAACAATTACAGTAAATACAAGAGACTGAATGCAAGGCAAACTAAGATTAACTCCTCCAGATTTAAATATATCTGGACACGGGATCGGACCAAAATATTTCTGATTACAGGAAAACTGACATGATCTCCTTTATGATAGCTTAGCTTAAACAGAGCCATTAGTTCTCTCTACAAAATGGCCAAGCAGCCCTCTGCTCCAGCCTACATTAAACAGTCTCATCTGACACAGTTCCAAAACATTCTCCCATTGAGAGGGTCATTTCATATCCTGAGAGGCAGGAGGCCGGGGTCAAAGTTCAAATGAGAATGGAAGGGGGGGTCTTCCCTTGAGCATTGGATATACCACTGCACACGAGACAGGGGTGAACAAACCAGACAGACCTCTCAACATGGTAATACATGAGATGTGAAAAATCTATAGTCAGTGGAGGAGGGAGAGACACAAACAACATGAGCTCAGATATGAAGAGCTTCATCATTTAAACTGGGGGTAGTTTACAGAAAATAACACTGTTAAAAGAATATCTGTAACAAAAACACTGAGCCTGAGTCTAAATGTCATCATAGGCTCACTTTTCAAATGACTACATCATTATAGAAATATAATCAGAATGCTGGACAACAAAGGATTGGGAGTATAATTGCTTTAAAAAATGTGCCGTTGTCAATTGTTGTAAAATCAGTTTACTGTGTAAACTCTGTAAAGCTTTTCATTTATTCTGAGCATCAGTTAGGGTTGTTAGTTAGCCATAATCACTGTAAATCACTTAATTGATCAGATGAGGGCAATTTACAGGCTGGACGGAGTGGCTATTCATCTTTTTGAGGCATAATATCTGATAGTTTGTAATCTACATTTCCAAAGATATCAGTCCTCTGGACAACAAAGGGGTGGCTGAGTATAGCATGCTTAAAAGAGGCCCTATTATGCTTTTGGGGGTTTTCCCTGTCCTGTATTGTATTGGTTTCTGTGCATGTCAATGGTCTGCAAAGGCTAAAATCCCTCAAGAAGTTCCCTCCAGAGGGAGTTTCTCTCACGACCTGAAGCACCTCCATTGGACTCCTTTGCTTACTGCCTTATCATAGTGACATCACTTTGTAACACTCACGCTTCTATTGGCTGTCATTCCAACACATTGTGCATGATACAGTGATAAAGTGAAACAATGTGTTATTTTTACCAAAATCTGCGAAGTGGCAGCTCATACAGAAGGAAGAGTTTTTTGTTTGTTATTCTCCACAGGCACAGACACGTTGTTATTTTTGGCTCAAAACTTGTATCTCCATCAAACTAATAGCCTCAAGCTATGATGGATAAACAGTCAACAGGTTCATCCAGACAGAAGTTTGTAGAGTTCAGTGTAATGAGAGACAAACTCATCCAGCCGTTTTGTTGTGTTTCAGTATGTGACTTGACTTGCCAAGGATAGAATAACACAATACAGAACCCACAATGCTGAAATGAAAAATGTCCTGAATAATATTTTGGATAACTGTGCAGTTGTTTTAAATATTGGAAGAAAGGAAACTGCAAACTAGTAATAAGATGGCTGAGGCTGCACACAGAATTGACTTTGTAGAGGCGCTTCTCAATGCCCAGCCACGAGCAAACAGGGTTCACAAATACAGAAATATTACTTCAACGCTAGAACAAATATGTGTTGACATTAACAGCAAGTGCATAAACTAGAAGCAAAACAGAAATGAAATTAGATTTGTGATTCCATTACGGAACATTCCTTTTTTTAGATCATTTTTGGCCAGTTTAGTCTTTATTATAGTGATAGATTTGAAAGGGGGTTATAGGGATTATACGCTTAAAAGGTTCAGGGGCTGGATCTAAACCGACGTCCCCGAAACGTTCGATTTTGAAATTCATGCACACAGAGCAAAATCAAAGGCATACAAGCTTCAATGTGTAATAAAATACGGCTTAATGCAAACATTCTGGCTTTAGAAGACAGTTGCTCACTAATGTGGACTCTTTAGGAGGACAGAATGATGTTTAGGGACGGATACCCCGGGCTCTCGTGTTGCTTTAAAAGCTTACAGCCGGGGCCTGACCCACCTGTCTGTTGATTCTGCTGCCTAGCACCAGACACTGATGTTTTCAGCAAGGCTTATTGGCTGCAGCTGACTAACCGGCAACCAATCAGAGCGCAGAGAGGAATGGAGGCCATCAGACAGTTGTTGTAGGAGGGAGGGGAAGAGGACAACCAAATCTCATCCAAACAAGGAAGCCACCAAGATAAAAACTGCAGGAAAATCCCACCCTGAGCACAAAGGGTGTCTTTGCTGCCTCTTCATTTAAAGACACTTGGCAATAGAAATAGACTTTTGTCAAATGTAGATGCATCCCAATAACACAGTAAAGGGCATGTGCTTCTGAGTGGTGCAGAATTGATAACCTGGCTCCGGGCGAGGCAGCTATCAGACCGCGCGTCGCTAAAAACGGATCAATACTTGATGAATTCCTCACGGCGCAGTTTCAGAAACATAAATGTATCCACACGAGTGCATAAAGTAACATCTGGGGATCGATGAATATGACATTACACACAGCCCAAGGAATGCATCTTCTTGATTGACCTGAGCATTTTCAAATTCATTCAGGCCAGAATTAAAATGGATCGGCCGGCGCGGCACCTTGGTTCGTCCTGGAATCTTTTTATTGTGTGCTCGGCTCATCTGGCCTTGTGTTTTAATTACCACTGTCTCCTATCAGGCAGCTCAGGCAATACGACAACAACAATGGAGAAATGAAAGGCTTAGACTGGCATTTTATAGTGAATTAGTGCTCGGCAGAGATAAGGTTAGCATTGTCCTGAAATCAAATGTAATTAAAAAGCACACAGCAGCAGGAACCTGTGATGGATCTTAGTCAATATTTAACGCTATTGTTTGATTCACTGTTTATGTGCTTTATTTTCATGGCTTTTAATAAAACCAAATCGATGGTAAAAATAATGATGTTAAAACTGCCTTTGTGGATGCGTTCCTAGAAGAAAGTAGTTCTTTTTTAAAGATTCTTTAATGGGAATAATTAGCAATTTTACACCTTATATCAGACCATAAGAATTTAAAATGAAGTATTTGCAAATGTTATGCTCAGGTGAGTAGGTACGGTGGTTTTGATTTGAAATTTGGCATAAGTCATGCCATTGGATGAGCTGCTTGTGTGAATTACTTACAAATATTCCTCACATTTTCGTGACTGCAAAAAAAGCGTAACAACTTCTAATATGGAGGCTGAATCAAAGCACGAGTCTGAATGCTATTAGTTCATCCTATCAACAATACCAAACCATGAGAGAATAAGCAGGTGAGCGCAATCTAAAAGGTTCTTTATTCATTTATTTACCAAAAAAGCTTTAAAAACTGTTTCCAGTTTGTATCTGGTACATCTTTAACATTTATTTGAGGAATCCGAACACATGCAGTACCAAGTTCTAGTTGTACTCCAGCCACACCATCAAACGATCTTTCTGCTAAGATCATAGCGACAGGTGTGTGCATTTCAAAGAAACCCAGAACATTATATTGCACACATAATTGTCCACAGGCCATCTTCAGAGACCATTATCGACCACATCAAAGATGACTTCTCATTGAGGAGGCGGTTATTATAATGATACCTTTTCTCTGCCAGAGCTCACCAAATGCTTTCCCAAAGATAATCCCTCTGCACAACCTCTCATTATCAAAGCAATTGTGTGACAATGGGGAGAAGAACACTGGAAATGATGTGAATTAGCGTAGGACTATGTGAGAATGATTGCTGATTCAAGGCTTTAATTAGGCCCTTGCAAAACAATCAGACACAATTAGGAGGTAGGAGTCGGTAACTCATGAGCAAGAAGAGATTATTTTGTATTTGATGATGGTTTT